AGCTCCACAGTCCCAAGCTCTGGTCCAGGACAAATACAGCCACGTAAAAGTTTTGGAAAAAAAAAACGAAAAATGGTAATCATGCTCAGTTTCATTCTATGATTAGCTGACAATTTTGATCCATATCTTTTAAACAGAAAGATTACTAATAGAATTATGATGACGTTCAAAGTCATTTTTCGTTAATAAAACTCAGTGATAAACAATCGTTGTGATTAAATAAACTGGCAATACGGCGCATGGCATGCGTGAAATTTTCAGTAGCATCACCAGCATGGAATCTTCAATATCGGCTGCCTTTGCGGCCTTGGTAAATAAACGAAAATAAAATGAATCAGTGATGACCCGTGTAGCAAGAATGTATATGTATATCTGCAAAAAAATACCAAAATTATGAATAAAAGGAGCGCCAAAAATAGATAAAAAAAGTTGCTTTTCATAAAAGCCGGGCAGCTCGCTCTGATTTTGAAGGGAAACTATTCGGTGAGAAGGCAAGAAGCATAAAAGATGAGACTGTCTGCTTTACCTCTTCTCCATCAAATGTTCACAATCACAGCGGCACTGGTATGATGAAAAGCATTGGATCCAGCGGGGTATTGTGATTGCTGTGAAAATCGATCATATATTTGGCGCATAAGCAATAAATCAATGTGGCACATTGCTCCTCCGTTAAATTTTCCACATCAATGAATGAGAGTTGCCGTGGAAAGTCTTTTAGCATCATGGAACGCTGCACAGCGCTTGCTCCTAACCAAATATCCACCATTGACACGCTACCTCTATGTTCAAACAGTTTTGGATGTCTGGTAAGGATTAGTCGTTTTAGCAGATGGTTCGCTCGATTGCTTGCAAGACGTTCGCTATCGGTGCCCGTTTCATCCGTGGTAATCATTTCGTCCTGTGTTCGCCTAATTAATACCACTGGTCCAGTGTATGATTCGAGCTGAAAAAACATGAATGAAGCAAACCTCACAAACTACAAGCTGGTGAAGCCCTCATACTGTCGTATAATAGATCAAATAATGATTAATGGTTTTTGTCAAAAGTAGGTTAAAGAACAACTGCGTTACTATGACGCAATACCCCTGTCCCTA